GACTGTGGGTGGGCACACACATGCCTGGCGTGTTCTCAAGCTGCTGGGTTCAGGACTCACACCACGCAGTCAGCCGTGTGGGATCCAGCCGCCTTACCCACCACACCACGGGCTTGCCCTTCTGTTTTCATCATTCATTTCTTGCTTCCGTGAACAAGAAAAACACGAGACAGAGAGAAAGACGCAGAAGCAGCACCCCACCCCAGCCCGGCCAGCCTGGACCTTGGGCTGTGTGCCCAGTGGTCAGGGAGGGCTCCAGAGCAAACCCAGAACCTCCGTGGGTCCCTCCCACACGGTGCCATGTCCCTGCTGCCCCGCCCACCTGGGAAGGCGTGGTTCCAGAGACAGGCAGGGAGGTGCTGTGTCTGCTTTCCTGGCGTGGGGGGTGGTCTGGAGATTTAGGGTGCCTGAAAGAGGAGGTGCAAGTAGCCCTGCTCCCCGCAGGGTGAGGGGCGCAGTGGAGGGCAGGGGCGCAGTGGAGGGCAGGGGTGCAGTGGAGGGCAGGGGCGCAGTGGAGGGCAGGGGTGCAGTGGAGGGCAGGGGCACAGTGGAGGGCAGGGGTGCAGTGGAGGGCAGGGGCGCGTGGTGCTGCTCCCAGGACCTTCATTCATGCTCTGACCTCGGCCCGACAGGCACAGGCCACCGTGGTGGGGCTCCTGGCCGCTGTGGCCGCCCTGCTGCTGGGCGCTGCGTCCAGGGAGGACCTCGATCTGGCCAAGGTGCAGCTGCTGTGTGCTAGCAGCGTCATCACCGCCTTCCTCGCTGCCTTCGCCCTGGGTGAGCTGCCCTGCCCCCACCCGGTGCCATGCCCAACACCTCGGGCCCCACGTGCCTTCAGCCTGCAGATGTGAGTCCTGGGACCACTACTGGGGGGGGCTGGTGGTGCCCTGCAACGGGGGAGTGCCGCTGGGTCTCGGCCCACCCATGCCCTCGCCCAGGCAGGGCTCTCCTGGCAGGCACAGTCACCTCCGCGGGGCTCCTGGGCTGCGTGCCACAGCAGGGCGCTCTCTGCGCTTGGGGCTGCCCGTTCATCTGTCCCACGGTCGGTCACCAGCCTCCCACCTGCCCTCACTTGCAGGCCCCTGAGGGGTTCCTGGTCTGCAGACACGGTGGGCCAGGCTCGGGTATGGGTGAGACTCCATCTTGGGGGACCTCCCCGGCTGTCGCGGCCCGCCGGGCTATGGTCACGAGTGCTGTCCCGGGTGGCTCCTCGCAGGGGTCGTCTCACAGCCCTGGGCCCCCACTCTCCCGGCTGTGCGGGGCTGTGCTCGAAGGCGGCAGGGTGGAGGAGAAGCCTGGCCCTCTGGCCTCATGCCAGCACTCTCACCCCCTCGCGAGGGCCCCACCTCATGACCACCTGCAGGCCTGCTCCAGGCCCCACCTTCTAGGGGCAGGGCTCTGGCCTGTGAGTTTGGGCCACCAGTGCTGCCCCATCCCAGCCCTGACATCCTCCTCTCCCCAGCCACGGCGACGCTCTGGCCACTGCTCTGCCCTGGCTCAGAGCACTCGTGACAGTCTCCCCCTCACTCCCCGCGCACCTCCTCCTGCCACGGGCCTCAGCTGCAGGGCTTCGTGCTGTCTGTAGCAGGTGGGAAGACAGGCGTGTTGGCTGACATGGCCCCGTCCCCAGGGGCTCATGCAGGGCAGGGACAGCAGAGTTGACAAGCGATGCCCACGCTTGTCACTGTCCACTCAGGGCTCACTGCCTGCCGGGCATCTGCTGTACGCCCAGTACCATGTGTGCTGGGACAAGCGGCGCCCGGTGCTGTGCATGGTGGGGTGGGCGGGGCCCAGTGCCATGAGCGGTGCCCGGTGCCATGCACGATGGGATGAGGCGGTGCCCAGCACATGGGATCCCAGGCTCCGGCCTGTCTGGACTCCCATGTAGTTGACCATGCTCTGGACCCGGTGGCTTAAACTCACACCGGGCGTGTGTGCGTGCGTGCCCAAGATCCTGAGAGGAGAATGGAGAAGGGATTACAACGCGGCTATCCCCCTGGGGGGGGTGATTTCTCACTTTCTGTCTCTCTGTGTCTTTCTGGCTAGTGCACGGTGCCCTGTAGCAAAAACCTCCCCCACCAAAAAAAAGTGTTACAATGTAACTAGGCAAGATCCAGAGTGTGCTTTTTATGGTTTGTTTAGATTGCTATAGGGTGTGTGTTCCCCCCAGAGACAGAGGCAGAGAGGGAGGGAGAGGGAGAAATCACCCTCCTCTAGGAGGGCTTGGCCACACCATAATCCCTTCTCCTCCCTTCTCCTCTTGGGTTTTGGGCATGCACGCACATGCGCGTGGCGTGTTTTTCAAGCCACAGGTCCAAGATTTGGCGTCTGGTTCTGGTGGACCCCGGCCCACACGGGAGGCCCGCCTACTCAGGCCCGGGCCCGGTGCTCAGAGCAGCATTGGAGCAGCCAGCGTGGGGCTGCAAGCCTCCTGTCTTCGTAGCTCCGGGCGATCTGAGAAAGGTCTGGGCTCTCCGTGGTATCAGGCCCACAGGGCACAAAGGGGGCCCCTATTCTGCCAACCTCTTCTGCCCTCAGCATGGGGTCAGCTGGCCCACAGCCAGGCGTGCCGATAGCAAGTGGCTCCTGAATGCCAGCTTGGCCCGTGCCTCGTGTCCGAGAGCCGTGCCGTGGACCTCCTTGGGGCCAGCGCCCAGGACCGGCCTCCTGCTGTCCCCTGCAGGAGTGCTGATGGTCTGCATCGTGATCGGTGCACGGAGGCTCGGGGTGAACCCTGACAACGTCGCCACGCCCATCGCGGCCAGCCTGGGGGACCTCGTCACACTGTCCATCCTGGCCCTGGTCAGCAGCTTCTTCTACAGATACAAAGGTAGGAGGCGGGGCCGGAGGCGGGGCAGGGGCCCGTTCCCGGCCTGTGGCATTCGGACCGACGCTGCCCAGGGAGTGCGCATGCGAGCCACGGGCGTGCGTGCGGGCCGCCGGTGTGCATGCGGGCGCCCTTCTTTTGCAGAGGGAAAGCCCGGGGTGGTTCTGCAAGGTCCAGTGTCCTGGAGAGAGGGCCCCGAGTTCTCCAAGTGCGTAGGGGAGGAATGAGCCGCTCAGGGCTGCACACACGTGTGGCTTGGTCTGCCGCGGGGCCGATGTGTGGGGGCCCGAGCAGGGTCTGAGGCTGGTCTGGCCGCTCCAGTGTGCCAGCTGGGGATGAAGACTGGGGAGCACTGGGCGCATGCTGACGGGTGTGGGGGAGACCCGTGACCAAGGGCGTGGCTCCCACTAGGGTCCCGTGGGAATTCAGACCCGGCAGCTGCGAAACCACCCCGTGGTGGTTAGTGTGTGCCGACAGTGGGGCCCTCTCTGTCCCAGGCCCGCGAGGTCCCCTTGCCATCCAGTAGTTCCTGCCACCGGCGGTTTAACCACCTGGGAGTCTCAGAGCTGATGGAAGTGCTGGTGAAGATCGTAGGAACGAAATGACCTAATTTTACTTTTAAGCCAAATTGAATTTAAAATGAAGCTTTGCAGGCGGGCTAATTATCTGAGTTTATTTTCCATGTACGTGAGAGTTCTGGCCCCAGGGCCCTCCTGTCCCCTCCTGCTACACTACGTGTTGTTTCAACCCGTGTTGTCGACCCGGGGTCGCAGGGTCGTCTGGCTGCAGTAGGCCACCAATGCGTGTCTGGTGTGCTCAGGGTGTCCCCAGGCCTGGCGTGTAGTAACCAGGTCTTCGCCGCCTGAGGAAGACGCCGTGGGCCGAGGAGCCTGCGTGAGGAGCGGGGAGAATGCGAGGCCCGACCTCCCTGCCCGCTGCTGTGTCTCCCGGGCGGCGCCTCTTCATGCTGTTTCCTGTGACATCTGTGTGCGCAGATGCCGTCACACACGGGACCAGGGATGCCGTCACACACGTGGGGTGTGCACAGGCGCTGGCGTGGGCCACCCTAGGACAGTAATGTCGGGGCGGGGAGGCCGGAGCAGCCAACGCCGTGGGGTGAGGCCAGGGCAGCACTGCATTGCCTAGTGGGGAGCGTGACTGCTCGGCGGGCGTGGCAGGGCAGTCCGCCCTGCGGGAGGACCGACGCCCTCTCCCCGTCCCCAGCCTGCCTCCCCCCTGCTCTGGCCCGGCCCACTGAATTGCGTGTGTCCCCGTCCCTTCGCAGACAGCCGGTACCTGACGCCGCTGGTCTGCATAGGCTTCATGGCCCTGACCCCGCTGTGGGTTGTCATCGCCAAGCAGAGCGCGCCCATCCTGAAGATCCTGAAGTTCGGCTGGCTCCCGATCATCCTCGCCATGGTCATCAGCAGGTGTGCTGGCCGAGGCCCGCCTCTCGGCCCCTCCCCGAGAGCCTGACAGCCGTGGCTCCCACCACGGAGTGCTCAGACGGGGAGGCCTAGACCCTGCTCGCTCTACCAGCTGCCTCCCTGTGCGCCCCGCCCCTCCACACTGGGCTTGGCTGGCCACTCCTCTGCCGGTCACTGTCACCGTGCAGCTGCCGGTGGGACCTAGGGGGCTGAGAGCTAGCCCTGGGCCCTCAGACTTCAGCTAAGCCAGGGTCTCCCATCCTCCAGACCCCCTCTCGAGGCCCCTTCCCCGTGAGGAGTCCCTGACGGCCACAGTCTGTTCGAAAGTGTTTCCTAACTGAACCTCGGGGGGTGGGGACGAGCTTGGGGTCCTGGAGTCTGCGCTGGGAGGCCAGCGTGACTGTCCAGCCATTCTATGCAAGGGTAGAGAGGGGAGTGCCCACAAAGGCTGGGGAGCAGGGCGACAGGGTGACTGGGGAGGGGGGGTTGCAGCTGCCGCAGGGGGGCTCCTTGCATCTGACGGCTGTCTCTCCCCCAGTTTCGGTGGGCTCATCTTGAGCAGAAGCCTGTCCAAGCCGCTGTACAAAGGCATGGCCGTACTAACTCCTGTCATATGCGGTAGGTGTCTGAGGTGGCCCCTGGGTCCCTGGGCTGGGTGGGTCCCCAGGGGCCGGGTCGTTCCTGAGCAGCAGCCTTCGGGAATCTGAAGCCCTACCATGAGAGGTGCAAGGGCCTCCCCGGGGCGTGCCCGCCCTGCTGCCACGTGCCATCTCTGGCCTGCCCTGGCTCCCTCGCTGGGTCTGCTGTTCCCCCCAGATGGTGACGTCCCTTGCGCTTTCCCAGATGTCCCAGTCTGCAGTCTCGTTCTCAGCTGTAGGTCCAGCTTGCCCAGAGGGGCTCACCAGGCTGCCTAGACCTGGCCCTGGCCCTCCATTCCCCGCTCCCTCCCTCCTTCGCGCAGTCACACCTTCCACTAGCCAGCAGGTACTTACGGAGCGCCTGCTTGGCCCCTCTGCTCGCAGCTGGAGAGGCCCGCAGACCTCGACCCTCACTCACTCTGGGCCAGAATTGTGGTCAAAGTGGGGGGGGAGGAAAAGGTATTAAGTGCCGGATCAACCAAGGAAGGCTTCCTGAAGGAAGTGAGCTTAAAGTAATGATAAAACCCAGACTGGCGTAAGGAGAGGGAGACCAGAGTCCCTTCTCCTCACAGGTGTGGGTGGCAATCTGGTGGCCATTCAGACCAGCCGGATCTCCACCTTCCTGCACATGTGGAGCACACCCGGGGTCCTACCCGTCTGCATGAAAACCTTCTGGCCTCACCCGTGCTCCATGTTCTGCTCCTCAGGTAGGTCAGCTGTCTCCCCGTGGCTGTGGGGCCATCTCCTTAAATAGGTGAAAACCGACGCCCTCGGAGGCTGCGTTCATGGCTGTGGCTCCCGGGTCTGTCCCCTAGCCCAGGTCACTGCCTGGGCCCGGCCCGCGCCCCGGGGACCTGACTCTCAGGCCCTGCCTGTCCTCCGTCCATTCTCTTTTGGCTCCAGTGCGCTGCGTGTCCACCGGGGCAGAAGTCCCGTCATAGCGGAGAAGCTGACCGTGGGCCCCGTGCCCTCACGGACTGCAGCGTCCAGAGGGCAGAGAGCACGGGGCCCAGGGCACCAAACACGGCCATGTGCTCTAGAGGTGGACGTGTGGGGGCCGTGGGGCGGAATCAGAGGGCCAGCTGGTGGCGGGTGCCGGCGGCCGGGTCCCACATGGCTGACTGTGTGGTTCGAGCCCTGGACCTGGCGGCCTGGGAAAACACTGTGGGCACCAGACTTTGACAGGAGGGCAGTGCAGGAGGTGCAGCTCTGACACGCCCTTCCGGGGTGCTCCCTCACCTCCCTGTCTCCTGTGTGCGCCCTCTAGCGGGTCAGCAACAGCAACGGCCGCGAGCTCAGGAAGCTGGGGCTCCTCTCTGCCCCTCTGCAGGGTGTGGACCGGGAGAAGCCCCAGTGTGTGTGTGGCCGGAGCAGAGCCCTGAGGCAGGAGGGGCTTGCAGGTGCAGAGCAGGAAGGCCCCTGAGCATCACAGCAGGAGGGACCCGGGGGACGGGGGCGGCAGGGGAGCTGGGGAGAGGCAGGAGAGGCAGGAGGGGGCTTGAGGAAGGCGGCTGTGTTCCGTTCCCAGAGGCCTCAGCGTTGGAGGGTCTCCGTGTTTTTAGCGGTTGTATCTTTTTCCTCTTACACTTTCTTGGATCATTTTCGTTGTCAGGAACTACCTTTACCACTTAGGGTGGGTCTGCTGGTGCACAGTGGAGATAAATTCGGGTGAAAACGGCCCCTTCCTGCCGTTGGCGGGAGCAGGGCTGCGTTGTGAAGTACTGGCTCTCCAGGCCGGTAAGATTAGAGACCCACCCTGAGGCGCAGAGTGAAAAGCCGTGAACCCCAGTAATGTAGGAGAAGAGACGTGTTAACAGAAAGTAAAGGTTTTTTCATGAACAGGAGCCCTGAGGGCAGGCAGCCGAGAGCGGTCACTGCGCCGTGGTGGTGGGCTCCCTGCGAGGGTCGGGAGCGTGTCCAGCGGGGAGGTCTGTGAAGGTGGCCGCGTCTTTTATTCGCAGCTCGCGGGCTTCCATCTGCACTTGGCTCGCTCCGGGGAACTGCTCCTCATATGCCTGGGGTGGGCTGTGGAGGGTGTGCACCTCTACCAGAAGAGCCGGGTAGTGGATAGCCCGGGGGATCGGGATGTGGGCCGAGAACCCTGCCCCGGGCAGGACCAGGGGGTGGAGGGAGCTGTCCGAGGGCTGCTGCACTGCCCAGTGGGCTGGCCGCTGAGGGCGTCCAGCAGCTCATAGGGCCGCCGCTCAGACCTGGCTGACTACCTGTCACGTGGCCTGGCCCACCAGTGGACGGACGGACGTGGTGGCCTTTGCTGCCGTCGGGTCACGTGACGCTGGTTCTGTTCCTTGCAGAAATCAATTCTATGTCCGCCCGAGTCCTGCTCTTCCTGGTGGTCCCAGGCCACCTGGTTTTCCTCTGCACCATCTACCTGGTGGAGGGGCAGCCTGTCACGAGCAGCAGGACTTTCGTGGCACTCTACCTGCTAGCAGGCCTGGCCCAGGTAGGGACACGGGCTGGTCAGCCGGCGTGCATGGCGCCTTGTCCTGGCAGGTGCCAAAGGGGTGGCTGGAGTGAGGGTCCTGGAGACACAGGGCACCGTGCCTCCCGAGCAGCACCTGGCTTCTACCCGACTCGCTCAGGCCCAAGGGGACGGCCCAGAAACAGGCCGTTGGGTGGACCCCTGTGGCAGCCTCGGGGAGGACCAGCCGCCCCCCGCTCCCTGGGA